ACAAGTTTGGTTATCGAATATATCTACAGAATGGACAAAGAAAAAACAAAAATAAATTTGATGTTAATATGCTAAACACAGAAAAATACATATATATGTGGTACATTCCAGTGGTATTATAACTGGAAAATACCACTTGAACATCTAAGTATAGATTTCTAGAAAAAAAAATTTCAAAAAAATTGAAATCACAAGATTTTTGAGCATTTTTTGGTACGTGTAAAAATCGTTATTTTTTTGTTATAGTCATGTTATTCCTAACACATTTGCACAATTTAGAATCACTTCACAATCATTAAAATTTCAAAAATATTAGCAGAATATAATTATGTACAAGAATAAAAAAAAAATAGTCTATAATTGTGCAATTTCACATTCAAATTATTATTTTTGTAACTAACAGACGAAATTATTAAAGTATATATATATATATATATATATATATATATATATATATATATATATATATATATATATATATATATATATATATATATATATATATATACCCAGTAAGCACAAAGACGTTTAAAAGACGTTTTAAAGATGTCTTTAAGGAGGTCTAAAAGGCGCACTTGTAGACGTCTAGATCATAAGGCTAAAAGACGTCTAAATGAAGACGTCTTTATAAAAACGCGTTTTAGACGTATTTTAGACGTTTTTTTCAAGATGAATTTAATTACATGACGTAACATTTTCGCGTAGTATGTGGTATATATTCATTATATTTAGAACGATATATATTGGTATAATTTCGTGTATACAAGTTATACATGGGAACCAGCAATCAAATTAAATTGCTGTTATCACCACCAACGGCTGATGCATCACAGATGAAAATAATAAATAACATTAGCAAATATTTATCAAAACAGTATTTAAAACATTTATAACTTACTTTTAGATGTAACTTAACTTAACATATATATTGCTAGCTAATTTTTGACCGCATACTTGACTTATTATATGGCTTGTGGGTGTATAAAAACTAAAAATACTGATATTTAACTTATTTATTATTCTTGCCATTTTCACTTATTATCATGATCAGTCAACTATCTATTAAAAAAGCAAAATAATTATTAATAAAAAAAAGATATATTAATATTATAGCAATTGTTTTAGTGATTCCTGTGACAACAATTTTAGCAATTGTGTAAAAAAGTAATTTAATTTGAAGTAATTTACACTTAAAACTTGAACAAATTATTGAAAATAATAAAAACTATGTTTTTACTTTGAATAAACGACATCTACTTAACGCGTAATGACAAAGCCGTCAAAAAGAAGTCATAATGACATATTTATAAACAGGTCTCAGAAAAGACGTCTTTTAGCCTTATGATCTAGACGTCTTTTAATGCGTCCTTTAGACTATTTATTATGCGTCTTTTAAACGTCTTTTTAAACTTAAAAAAGACACATTTTAAACGTCATTTTAAAAACGCATTTATTAAAGACGTGTAGAAGATGTCTTTAAAAAAGATATCTTCTAGACGTTTTTTTAACGCTTAAATAGACGCCTTTTAAACGTCATTTTAAAAACGTCTTTATAGAAGACGTCTAGAAGATGTCTTAAAAAATGACTTCTTTTAGACGTCTTTTTATCTTTCAAAAAGACGCCTCTTTAACGTCATTTTAAAACGCATTTATAAAAGACGTCTAAAACATGTCTTTAAAACGTCTATAAAAGTGCGTTTTTACCTAGACTAGTTTTAGACGTCTATAAGTGTCGAAAATGCGTCTTGTGCTTACTGGGTATATATATATATATATATATATATATATATATATATATATATATATATATATATATATATATATATATATATATATATATATATATATATATATATATATATATATATATATATATATATATATATATATATATATAATATATATATATATATATATATATATATATATATATGTATGTATATATATATATATATATATATATATATATATATATATATATATGTATATATATATATATATATATATATATATATATATATATATATATATATATATATATATATATATATATATATATATATATATATATATATATATATATAGATAGATAGATAGATAGATAGATATATAAATGTAAATAAATACATATATATATATATATATATATATATATATACATATGTTTATATATATATATATATATATATATATATATATATATATATATATATATATATATATATATATATATATATATATATATATATATATATATATATACAGAAATATAGGTTTGCAATCAATCAAAGTACTATATAATTTCTTTAATAATAAGTATAATCCGTTTATATATATGTATATGTATATATGTGTATATGTATATGTATATATATATATATATATACATGTATGTATGTGTGTGTATAAATGTATGTATACATATATATATATATATATATATATATATATATATATATATATATATATATATATATATATATATATATATATATATATATATATATATATATATATATATATATATATATATATATATATGTATATGTATATATGTGTATATGTATATGTATATATATATATATATATATACATGTATGTATGTGTGTGTATGTATGTATGTATATGTGTGTATGTGTATGTATGTATATGTATATGTGTGTATGTGTATGTATATGTGTGTATGTGTATATGTGTATGTGTATATGTATGTGTGTATGTGTATATATATACATATATCCTTCTTATATATATTCTTCTTTTTTTTTTTTGTTTGTCTGTTTTAATTTTGTTTAAAAAAAAAATATGAGTAGATGAACTTAAATCTATAAAATGTTCAGAATCTTTTTTAATTCAAAATATCTTTTGTATATTTAAATATATATTATGAAGTTTATTGGATATGTATACGCATATGTACGGATTTGTAAATTATTTTTTCAAAATTTTTTCTTTTTTATTATTTTCAAACTTTTTAGTTTTGTCAAACTTAAAAATTATTTTTTCAACTTTTTGATTTTTTCAAACTATTTAATTTGTTTTTTTTTAAACTTTTTTTAATTTCACTCTTTTATATATTATTGGAAATTGTAAAAAATTTTTTAATTTTTTTTTATTTTCACGAAGGGGCTTGATGATAAGACATTTTGTCTTCTACTTGCCCCAGTCAGCTTGCATTTGTATAAATTTATTTGAATGTAAGATTAACATTGTAAAATGTGTCAAATGACGAGAAATAAAAATTAAAAAAAAAAAAAAAAAATATTGAAAGTCTTAACAAATTTAAAATAATTAAATTTTACATAGTCTTAACTAAACTACGTAAATAAATAAATTTAAAATACTTAAATTTAACAATTTAACAACTTTACTGGTCTAACCCTAAATCAGAGAAAAACTAATAGACAGTAAAATACCTAATAGTGGCAATGCTATATTATATATAAATATATTATTATTTTATTATATTATTATTTTATTATTATTATATATATAAATATTTTATTATTTTATTAGCGTTTTTCTCAGATTTCGGGTTAGACAAGAAAGATTGTTGCATAGATTTATAGTTTTGATAATATTGAAATAATGGATTTCATGAAGGTGATTATTTAAAGTTAAAATTGGAACCTCATCATTTGAATGATGTTTTTTAATATTGACAATCATGTTAGCATTTTACAACAAACATTACAATATTATTTTTAACTAAAGACTTACTTGCTTGAGATAATGGAAATCCATAATGTTTATCCTTTTTACTTAAAAGTGATGAAGATTGATGTGTCTTAAAATGAAGTCTTAGTCATCACAATCAATATCATCTTCATTAATTATTTTTTGACCTACACAACACAAACATAGAGAATATTTGAATTTCATCTAACAGCTTGTCTTCTCATGTAGCAATTTTACAATTGAAAATTTTTAACAAATTACTTTACAGGTTAATAACTTTATAAGTAAAATAGGGTATACAGTATGGTATATAATATTATAGGTTTCATACTGCTAAATATTTGGTAATAACACCAGAATATCATTAAAGAATAAATATTTAAAATGACATTTTGAAGTAAATCACTCCCTTTCTTGAAACAAATAATCATATTTTTTCCTTTTAGCCATTTTAACTATAGTAATTCCTTTATAAAAACCACTGATATTATCATTTTTAATTTTTAGAGTTAAAGAAGAAAAACTCTGAGAATGTTGTTCCCTTTTCTAAAATCCAAATAAATTTTTTAGCATTAAAAGCAGTTGATAATTAAGTAGAATTAAAAACTTAACCTAGTTTTTATAAGCAATCAAGTTTACTCAACAATTAAGTTACTTAATAGAGAAAAAAAAAATCTACTTAACCACACCATAAAAACTTTATTAATCATATCTACTTGACTTTAGTAGAAATACAAACACAACCTAGTTTCAACGAAGGCATACAACTTTAAACTAAAAATACTCCAATATATTTTCAAATTTAATTCTACAAGAAAACAATACAAACAATACACTTGGTTGATTTAAATATATACTAATTTATATAATTTTTACTTAAATAAATCAATTCGCCTGGTTGAAGGTCACGCCATTATTTGCGTAAACATACTCTTTTAGATATTGCCGTGCTGTAGGTTTAAAAAACGTTTTTTTATCACGTTAAAAAAACGTTTTAAAAACGTTCATAACCTAACTAAAAAAAATAAAACGTTTAAAAAACGCTAAAAAAACGTTTAAAATAACATTAAAAAAAACGTTTGCAAAAAAGCGTTTTAAAAACGATTGTATTGGTTCTTTTTACGTCCGACCGTAAATTGAACGGAATTAAAACGTTTTTAAAACGTCCCGTGCTTACTGGGAAAGGTTGTTGTACGTAAAGCAGAACTGATTTGATAACTGTTATTTTTATTGACTGTTGACAATTTCCAGATGTTTTTTTTTTGATTATATAACTTTTTTGTTATCTTTAGGCCAATTTGCACAGACTACAGCTGGTAAGTTATTATAGCATAACTTTAATTAACCATTAAAAAAATATAAATAAGTATGTATTTCTTACTTATTTATTTATTACTTGTCGTGTATGGATTTCCCATTTGCTGCAATATTAATTTTTTAATTTTAGTATCTACCTCATGTACTACACCTGGTAAGTTACATAACTCTTAATTTTTCATTTGCAAACTTTACAATATGTTTAACTTTAGTTCCTTAGTCAGCTGCTGCAACTAGTAATTTTAAAAAATAATCAATTTAATATGTGTATGCATTTCTCGTTATTTCAATATTGATTTTTTGTTACAACTTTGTAAATAAATAGGTACAGCAAGTTTTGTGGCTTGCAAATAGATACAGCAAGTTTTGTGGCTTGCAAATGTGTACCGCAAGTTTTATGGCTTGCAAATAGGTACAGCAAGTTTTGTGGCTTGAAAATAGGTACAGCAAGTTTTGTGGCTTGCAAATAAGTACAGCAAGTTTTATGGCTTGCAAATAGATACAGCAAGTTTTGTGGCTTGCAAATAGGTATAGCAAGTTTTGTAGCTTGCAAAAAAAAAAGATAGACGGCTCTGGCTTACCTTCACGTGGTGTCTATTGTTAAAAATGATTTATTTAGTTGCATTGAAACTTAATTTAAATCATTTACTAAAAGCCAAGGCATAAATTAATTACTATGTTTCAAAGCATTTGTTTTTTTTGTTTGTTTGTTTTTTATAAGGTTGGTTGGTTAAATATGATCATTTAAATGAGAAAATGTATACTCGTGCAACTGAATACATGTAAACTTGAGAAAATGAATACTTGTGCAAATGTATACTCGTGCAATCTGGTAAAAAAATTCTGTATTGTGCTTTCTCTTTTTAGTAATTGCATGCAAATATGTTGAAAATATCATTTCTATGTGTTTTCTTTTTTACGTTGGTTGAGGGGAAGGGGGAAAACCATCCCTCTCCTCAAATTGTACATTACTAATGTATGTTCTATAGTAAAAAAATATTGCTTTATGTAATACAACAATATTTTCAATACTAATGTATGTTGTATAGTTATAAAAGATTATTTTTTCTTTTTAACAATACATTTGATTATTGAAATAAAGATAACGTTAATTTTTTGTCATGTCGGGGGGAGGGGAGACGTTATTTTTTGTCAGGTGGGGGAGGGGGAGACTTCCTTTATTTAAAGTCAATGTGTACATCAATAATATAAGTTGAATAATAATAAAATATTATTTTTACTTGTTAACATTTAGTTATTGCAATAAAGATTTAATTATTTTTATTTTTTGTTATGCGTTGGGGCGGGGGCGGTGCAACATACGCCCTTCCCTAAAGTTAGTGTGTACATCACTGATGTATGTTGTATAGTAAAAAAATATATTTTTACTTTTTAACAAAATATTTATTTACTGAAAGATTAAATTATTTATTAGAATGTATGATTATTGTATTAGGGTGTTATAACATCATAACCACATCTACGGCAAACTCTAAGATCACCTTATTTTGTTTGGCAGTGTTCTGGAATCAAGTTATGGCAATATTTTATGTATAAAATCTAACAATTACATTAAAGAAGTGCTTATTCTTGACAAAAATTTGTATTTTCTTAAGTGTTAGATGGTGTTTCATTACCCCCTCTGGCTCCCAAGATACACCTACGTCCAGGCACCTATATGAACTTGTAGCCCATTAGTGCACCTATCTTTTGATACCAAGATATAGGTATTTGAATAAAAATTGACAAAGTTATAACAATTTAAGTAAAAAAAATGGTTATTTTGACCACAGTTTCTTCAACAATTCCATATATCTTAAATTTGGTACTAAAGACGTTATAACTTTTTTTAGAATCGTTCGTTTTTAATAATTTTTTCACGTTTAAAATACTGTATTAAAGGCCTTTCTATTAATGTATAACATTCTAATATATGATTAATTTAAAAATTTCAGTGCGCGTACCTAATATATATATATATATATATATATATATATATATATATATATATATATATATATATATATATATATATATATATATATATATATATATATATATATATATATATATATATATATATATATATATATAGTATATCATATACCCAGTTTTTAACTATTTATTTCAATATCTGTATCAATTTCAATATGAATCAATATTAATACAATTCTCAAGTAATTGAATGTTTAAAAATATATATATAAATTAACAAGAACCTGTCTTTAAGTCGCTTTTCATAAGGTGCTTTTAATATTCTCCTTAAATCTTTGGGAGGTTCCAAACCTTGAATTGGCAATATTTCAAGAAGATCATTAACTAATGTACTGGTCCCATTATAAAATAGCATATTGTTGTCGAGTAAAGATATTGAATTCAAAGAATTATCAGGATAATTGTTCCATGCATCATTAACAGGTTTTCCTATTGAAAAATTCGACTCTGCATGAGATGTCTAAATCTTTGAAATTTTTAGAACTTGGTTCTTGATATAGCAATACTATACTAATAGTATATCAAGTATATATATACATAGTATAGCGTATATTCAGTTTTAAACCGTTTCTTTCATTATCTGTAAAAATTTCATTTCCTGTATCAATATTACCACGATTTTCAATTGATAACAAAAACAAAAATTAGATAGAACGTGTCTATTAGTTGTTGTAAAAAGACTTCTTTTGTAATTGAAAAAAAACTTTATTAAAAATGTGTTACTTAAAAATTTTAAGAAGTTTTAGCGCTTGCGTGATTTAACTGATTTTTTTTTATTTAATAAAGCATTCTGGATATTTTTTGGACGAAAAAATTACTGGACGCGAAAAAGACATTCAAAAGACGTTTAGAATTTTAATGGGACGGACGGACGCAATTTGAACGTCCTAAGGACGTCTTTTTTACGTCCTGTGCCCACTGGGTTAAAGTCACGCTTTTAAAAGTAACTGAAAGCAGCTGAAAATAAGAATTTTTTGTAATTGTCTTATTTGCAAAATTGTTTTTGTTTTATTTACAGTATTGTCTTTGTTTTTTTATCTAAACAGCTATGTTTGACTCAAATATAGTAAATGTTGACTGTTTAATATAGTTTCATCTCTTCTTTATACTTTTTTTTGACAGTTTTGAGACTGCTTTAGAACGGAATTATCTGTGCCTCCAGCTTAATAAGATGCAGGATAAAAAAAAGTGACACTGATGAGATTGTCTCTCAGTTTCTCAAAGATTGAAGAAATATTTAGTGTTTTAGGGTTAAGTGATTCCATCAGAGCTTTGCTTGACTATCTCTTTCGATTAATTGAATTTAAATGCCGGTTATTGATAAAAAAGATCTTCTACACCTAGAAGAAAAATTATGGAACAAAGACACTTTATGAATCAATAGTATATTTCAGTGAATTGATATTAGTTAATAGTTTTTGAAAACAGTACCATGTACTTTTAAAGTTTCTTATTTTTAAAATATGTGATACATTTATAAGAAACATACAAACAAATGATACAATATAATACGTGATTTACTACAGCTAATGGCCAAAGAAGTATGTTATTCATACTCAAAGTATGAATGAAACAAAAAAGTATAATTATGTTGTATATCAGAATGTTTTATATAAATGCTTATTACATTTTATTGTGATTTTTATCTTTTATGCCCAGTTAGCAATGTATTTTGTGTAGCAATGACTACTAATCTCAGATATCTTAGACATCTGTAGGGTGTATTCACTGCTACAGATATCATAATCTATTTATAACCAATTGCTTTTACTATTCTATAATTTCATATTTTAATAAGAGTCACATTATGGAAAACCGTCTAATAAATACACATGAGGAACCATTTACTTTTAGTACAAACAATTATACTACATTTGTTTTCTTATTTTAGATAAACTTTCTTACTTCGGTTGGAGGAGATGAGAAACAACTTACAGAGGCAATCTTAATACAGCTAATGGCCAAAAAAGTATGTTATTCATACTCAGTGTATGAATGAAAAAAAAATATTTTGATAAAAGCTAATTACTTTACAATATTTATACATAAAGAGTTATATATTTCAAAATTAAATTGTGATGATATTTAAAAAACATTTTGTAGAGTTGCGTTTAGTCGTTTATTGTTGTATTCGTTCATTTCGAAATCGCTACTGACAAAAGTATTTTTAAAAAAAATAGAAACTTTCTGGCGACGGCCATTAATGGAGATTATGGAAGAAAAATAAAACCGTATTTTAGCAACGCCAAATTTTGAGCTATGAAATAAGTATCGCCAATATAATTAAAGTCGATGCCCACTATCTCATAGTGAGAGTATAATACAGTAGTTTATATATATATATATATATATATATATATATATATATATATATATATATATATATATATATATATATATATATATATATATATATATATATATATATATAAATCATGTATATAATAATAGCAAACATAATAGTGTCCCTTGCGGCGTATTTGACACAAAACCCTTGGCAGCCATTGCAACCGAGGTATTGGCAAGAAAAAGTCGCAGCACTATAAGAAAACGTGAACGAATATCTAACGTACGTAAACTTTAAACTAAGTAATGTTAAAGCATATGTTAAAACATACTGAAACATTTATCATGTTTTACAGTTTGACTTTTACTTGAAAATTTCATTGCGTCAACCTCTCCTTAATTTTGATCTAACTTTTTTTTCCTTAAAAAAATTACTACATTATTATAAAATCTACTATTGATGACATGCCGATGTAGCTCGAGTAAATAAGGCGGCGAACTTCTTAACAAGGAACTAGAAGTTCGACTCCTACCAATAGCGGCTATTTTTTTTAATTTTTTTAATTATTTTAAAATACAAAATACTTTCGAAGTTTTATAAATATTATATACAAGCATATGTAACGTAACGATGTTATGCACTTACAAAAGAAAAGATTTTAAGAAAGCTAAAACTTCATAAAACATTTAAAAAAAAAAAAAAAAAACATCACTAGGAGAAAATATATGTTGCGTATCTAGGATAATTGAGACACTTATGTTATTAATATGCTCATGTAATTAGTCCTAATAAGCTGCGGGTGGTCTGAAAAAAAAGTTGTCTGAAACTTAATAAAGAAAAAACTTAACAAGACAGCCCTGCTACTTTAGATGATGCTGCTGTGGAGGCAAAAAAAAACCTGTAGTTAGCTACAGGCTTTTTTTTTTTGCCTCTTAAAATAAAACTTAAAAACTTTTGCCTCTTAAAATAAAACTTTAAAACTTTCTTTTGACAATTAAAAGTTTGTTTTGCTACATTAACTTTTTACTTTAAATATATGCAGCAACTGTTTTTCAAAACGCCTTAATATGCTTATGACGTAATTAAAAAAAAACGCAATTAAAAATAAAATTGTTTGGAAAAACTCTTCGTGAAACGTTTTTTGAAACGAATAACTTTTATTTAGTTTTTTTTTTCTTTTGTGCAACTTTCTTTTCAATAAATTTCTTTACCTTTCAGTTTATAACCATTTTTAACAATGCTATAGAAAAAATATCAGTAAATTGATTAGTTGTACTTCAATTATATTAATTAGATTAAATTAAATATATTATATTATATATTATATATATTAAATTAAATAGATAAATAAATTGATATACAGTTAATACATGTGTATTTTTTTTTTTGAAAAAACTTAGAGACAAAATAGACTAATTAGATAGATTTAACAGCAGTATAACTCTAAATTTCCTTATAATATGAATATTAAATATAAAAGTTATACTTTAGCTTTTAACTATTTTTAGAAGTATTAGGTTTAACATAATGGTTTCATTTAAATATAAAATTAGAATTTTTTAAAATATGTTTTTATAAAAAACATATATTTTTAATCCC